AGTGATGTTTCAAATGTATGGACCCCTAGTTTGGCAAACTTGGTCTCGTATATCATGCTTGCATTATGTGATAATTTGTCAACAAATGATCCGAATCCAAAATTAGTAGTAAACCATGATTTTGTTGGTTCAGTCAAAACTAAATGTTAAATAAATAAAAATGCTTGAATAATATACTAGTAATTAATTTACTTAAAGTTTTATGATTTTCTGGTTTTTTTTCGGAGAACCCTTTAGTTAATGCAAAATGTATTGAATATAAATTCAGTTTTGGATATAAGGACTCGCAGTTTTGATTAATTAATTAAACACTCAAATCATTTTGAATGTTCAAATGAGTAGTGTTTTATTTTTCGCGAAAATGTTTTGTTGCGAAAAAGTTTTGGAAATGAATGAATGACTGAATGAATAAAATATTAGTGAAGTCAATGAGAGTCTCTCATTAGGACTAGTCTTTAGTCTTATTGTTATTTTTTACCCAAAGTCTGGCAAAAGTCATAACTATTAATACACCGATAGACGCAATTTTGAATGTTTTATTTTTATGAATACTTTTCTTGATATCATTTATAAACGTTTAGATTTTACTTGTTTTTGTGAGACATTGGAAGTGATTCTTAATAATTTCTGTTTGCATCCAAATTATGGTGTAATTAATTGAAAAAAATTAACATTTAACTAAAATGACAAAAAATACTTTTGTTGGACCAATGATATCAACAAATTTGTTGATTATTTTGTTTGACATCACAAGTGATAAGATGGTGTATTACCACACTATATAAGTGATGCCTATATTTTAATTACTAATCAATTAATTTAACTTTTAATAAACATTCGTTAAATAACTTTTAAGATATCCTTTAACTCCAAACTTTATCCAACATTTTATTTTGTGTGCATTTTTATAATATGACGACTAATTACACAATGGATTGCAGTTATAATGAGAAAGAGTTGCCAACGATTGACACGTTTGACGATTTGGTCAAAAATTTGCGGATTATTTTCGAGAGCGACGACATTGATGTCGATTATGTCCAGAACCTATTGCTTTCATATAAGAGTAATCCCATTGAATGGAAAAAATACGCGCATTTCGACAAAAATAAGTAATTATTTTAGTTTT